TGTTTCGGACCGTGATGTACGCTTCACTTCCAGGTTCTGGAAGAAATTCCATGAGGAGCTGGGTACTAAACTGCATTTTAGTACCGCATACCATCCCCAAACAGACGGTCAAAGCGAGCGGACGATTCAGACACTGGAGGACATGCTTCGAGCGTGTGTGTTAGACTTCGGGGGTAGCTGGGATGCATATTTACCCTTGGCAGAGTTTTCCTACAACAACAGCCATCATTCGAGCATTGGTATGCCACCTTTTGAGTTGTTGTATGGTAGGAGGTGTCGGACCCCCATTTGCTGGGGAGAGGTGGGACAGAGAGTGATGGGCAGTACAGAGATCGTACTTCAGACGACAGAGCAGATTCAGCAGGTTAGACAGAGGTTATTGACCGCCTAGAGCCGACAGAAGAGTTATGCGGACAGACGCCGGTCCGAGCTTGAATTTCAGGTTGGCGACTTCGTTCTCCTGAAGGTTTCTCCTTGGAAAGGAGTGATACGGTTCAGGAAGAGGGGCAAGTTGGGGCCCCGGTTTATAGGTCCATTTCGTGTGATTGCAAGGGTAGGCCGGGTAGCCTATCGGTTGGAGTTGCCAGCAGAGTTGGGACAGATCCACAATACTTTTCATGTATCGCAGTTGAGGAAGTGTATAGCCGATGAATCGGCAGTGGTTCCATTAGAGGATATTCAGGTGGATGCGAGCCTGAATTACGCCGAGAGACCAGTGGCCATCAGGGATCGGAAGATCAGGGTTCTGAGGAACAAGGAGGTACCCCCTGGTGTTGGTTCAGTGGCAACACCGGAAAGGATCGGAGATGACTTGGGAGCCAGAGCGTGAGATGCGGGAGCAGCATCCGGAGTTATTTGCAGAGCGAGACTTCGAGGGCGAAGTCTAGTCCTAGTGGGGGAGAGTTGTAACAGCCCGGAATTTCAGGTATTGTTATAATTATGTTTTTGGGGTGTTTCAAGAGGGGACTCGGCGAGTTGGAGCCAGACTCGCCGAGTAGGACCACAGACTTGGTCGCGGGTTCGCGACTGGACTCGACGAGTCCAGATATGGACTCGGCGAGTCTGCGCTGTTCAGCGGAAACCCTAGCCGTTTGGTTTTGGAACGTATAAAATGGACTTATAGGCCATCATTGTCCGTTTTTAGCCTACTGAGAAGAACCCTAAACCGATTGTGTGCATCTGGAGCAAGGATTGAAGACCATTGTTGAGTTTGGAAGAATTGTTGTGCAAGGAAGGGAAGGATTTTGCTAAAGGAACAGCAGGAGAATCACGTTCTGAGGTTTGAGGACGCAGAGAACACGTTATTCAGGTAATAAATCGAATTACACTCTTCCATGTTGATGTGTATATGGATTTAGGGTTTATGGAACCCTTTTGTGACTAGATTGATTGTTACCCTTGTTCCCCAAACGATTATAACCCTGTATTAGGACCTTTAGAGGTCTAGAATGTCCCATGCCTATGCAAATTCGGGAATTAAGAGAGGTTTTGGATTGGAATCCTTATGCCTTAAGTCAAAATGTAAATTACAAGTCTTGGGGTGTAGCATGAGCACCTAAATGAAGGCCTTACGTGATGGACCAGCTTAGGAGGACCAGACCTATGAATGGTCGGGACAATACTGATCTCAGGAAGCAGTTTGATCGACTGCATGGCATGGACTCGCCGAGTCCAATGAACAGACTCGGCGAGTAGCTTGGAGAATAACTGGGACTCGTCGAGCTGTTCTTCAGACTCGACGAGTGGAGTCGGGGTGGCCCCTCGATTCTTCCACGAGGAACTCGTCGAGTCAAGAGAGATACTCGACGAGTAGAAAGGGAACATCAGGGAGTTTGTGAGGACGTCTAGACTCGCCGAGTCGCCATAGCACTCGCCGAGTCCGGTCAAGTTGACCGTTGACCGTTGACCAGAGTTGACCTATATGTGATTTCTTAGGGTCAGTTGTCTTGAAAGATAAAAGTGTTAATAAGGGAAATATGATATTATAGGGAGTCTGTAGCTCGGCGGATCGAGTACGAGTGATTTCAGGAGTTGCTAGCCTTCATTATCCACGAGGTGAGTCTTCTCACTATACTGTACCCGGAAGGGTTTGACTGTGTGACCGGAAGGTCGGATATGATATGTGATATACGTGTTATATGTGGTAAGATAATTATTATATGTGTTGTGTATGTTTTATGGGCCGGAAGGCAATATGTTATGGGCCGGAAGGCGAATATGTTATGGGCCGGAAGGCGACTATGTTACGGGCCGGAAGGCGTTGTGTTGTGGACCGGAAGGTCAGGGCCTGGAAAGGCGTATATGTGTAAGTAGTATACTGGGGAACTCACTAAGCATTTATGCTTACAGTTGTTATGTATGTGTTTCAGGTACTAGCGAGGACCGTGGGAAGGCGCCAGCGTGATGCGTACACACTGTCTGATATTTTGAGATCTTGGGAATTTTATGATTGTATTTTGACATAAAACTTGGAATAATTATATTTAGTTTGAATAAAATCACTTTATTTGAAATGAAAATTTTGTTTGAAAATTTGCGCTGTTACACATCGTAGGATGGTGGTGGACTAGATCTAGACCAAATCTAAACATATCAAAACCGAGAGATGAGGCAATGGTGGACAAAATCCTGGACTTAAGCACAAAGAATAGGAAACTTTACAACTTCAGTTTTTAAAGTTCGATTTGCTTTCTTGAACAACTTGAACTAGTAGTCAATAAAACTTGTATTGAAGTTTAAGACTAAAGCTTTTGCACAAAATCCTAGACTTGTTAAATATGTGACTTTCTATGCAAGAAATACTTCATCCGCTAAGAATATAAACTTAGTACATGCCCTCTTTGCTATACCAGTTAATCCGTGGAGGAACATGGAACTTATATATATATATATATATATATATATATATATATATATATATATATAAGGGTTGACAACGAGCTTGTGGTTGCTAGCTACAACCATTGACCGACACACTAAAACAAGTGTAATTGTTCTTTTCTACATACTTTCACAACGTCGATGAAGCGTTAGTGATAATCAAGGCACCTATATTCACCGTGCTCTACAGAGGCTAGATCGTCAGTAGTGTCGGTTATAGGCTCACACTAAACCCCCAAAAATTCATTCTAGAATGTGTGGAAATAAAATGGAACGATTTATTAAAACAGTTAAGTGTCAAAAATTAATTTAATTGAAAAAATAAATCATTAACTCGACACAACATCTTATCGAATTATAACTTAGGTTAATAAGTTATGTAGATAAACAAAAGTCTTTTACTTGTATGAGATTACAAGGGTAAAATGTGTTGCATTTTGTATTGGTATAATTATTAGTCTAAACACACTCTTGATTATGAAAATGAACGGAGTCAGAATGAAAAACAAAACTCTTTGACTTGTACAAGTTTTCAAGGGTAGAAAATGTTGCACCTACGTCTTTATAATTCATTAGTCTAAACACATTCTTGATTACAAACACTTGGATTCAAAACTATAAACAAAACTCTTTTACTTGTATGTGTTTTACAATGGTCATATAGGTTGCTTTTGATACTTTTATAATTCATGAGTCTAAATAGTTTTTATTATAAAAACATACCGAGTCAAAACCTATGTTAGGCCTTTTGATTCATTTTGACTTACGTTTGCAGAACTTGTTTTATTAGTTATCGCCTGCTAGATTGACGATAATGTAATTCTTCGGTGGTGATCACTAGAATTGAAGGAGAATAACTGATGGTCATTTAATTATCAAGCGTAGATATGAAAATGGGGAGTCATCAAAGTAGATACATTTGGATGACTTTGTTTTCTCTTTATATGAGTCCTCTAGAGAACCAAAGGAAAGAGGAAATGTAATTGTATGGAGATGATGAGGCAAGGGTTAAGGGGTGGTGGGTGTGGGATAGGGGTGAGACCCATACAAACTTTTTTATTAATTTTTTTCTATAAAAATAATAATATTTAAAAAATAAGAAAGGGTATAAATGTCATTTTAAGTCTGATAGGGACCAAACTTGATCCTAGTTAAAAAAAAAAGGAGTTAGGAACCAAACACGTAGACCACCCCAAACCAAAAGAACCATTCGTGTAATTTACCCTAAATAAATTAAAATAAACTGCTAAGGGCAAAACAGTCATTTCAAGTGTGACATGGACCAAAGACGCAATAAAAACATACTATAAAAACTATACGAGTTAAAAAAAAATAGTTATTAAGGGTTAAAAATAGTTATTACGGGTGACAAACTCTCGACATCAAAATATACGAGTTTGGGTTGAAAATTTTGACCCGTTAACTCTCAAATAAACGGATCGTATTCAAGTTAGTATTTGGTTTCTGGTTCATCCCCCTCCCCCCCACCCACACACACACATATTTATTATTTTTTAGAAGGTATCACCGCTTTAAAATATACTCTCTTGGAGGTGGTTCACCATTTGGTGAAAACATATAGCCATCTTGTGGTGCATTTGCAAGCGATTATGCACAATGCCCTTAGTAGAAGATTTGAACTCATGATCTCTTTTCGAAAAAATTCACCGTATAATATATTAGATTTAACTTATTTAACTGTTTCTATCAACATATACATGTTGCGTGCCCTAAATAAAATTGATTCTCACTATTATTCAAATAATATTTTGGTCAACTTGTCAACCCGTCAAATCGTAAACGTGAATTTGACTCATGAACACGAATTCAATCCATGGACCCATATAATTAAATGAGTTGTATATGAGTTGATGTTTCCAACCTACTAACCCATGAACAAAATAATTATATGAGTCACGTATAGATTGATGCATTCCGATGAGCCAATCCGTCAACCCAAACCCAACATAATTGCCACCGATTAGAGACCAAACACAAATTATCCCAAACAAAACCGGATGGACTATTTGTATAATTATCCTAAAAGATATTTATCAAAAAAAAAAAAAAAAAAAAAAAAAAAAAAAAAAAAGTTTAAGAAAAAGGAAAGCCTTGGCGTACCCGATGAGTCATAAATACGAAAGTACGTTTAGTTACGTAAGATCTAAATAACTAGGGCTCCATTTGCGTATAGCAAAGTCCTAAACCAGGTCAGGTTCCGACTTTCTCCGGTCGACTTCCGATCAACAAATCTTATAAACTGAAACCCCCACAAGGTAAACCAATCACTTAACAGTTTCAAAATCCTTATCAAATGTTTATGCTTTTTATGGTTGCCGATTCGTGTTACTCGACTTTATCAGAATTATCCTAGTCCTTTCATCTTCCATTTCGGTGTATGTTCGTAATTGCGTTTGTATACATACATATTTATTTGTATGAATCGATTGTTTAGTTCTTTTTGTAGTTAAATTGTGCTCCATTGTTTCTACATAAGTAATTAGGTAAAGTTTGTTTTTTTACATGGTTGTCAAATTCACTTATAAAGGCTCGATGAAAAACTTCTTTTAGGTTACAAATTCGACAAGTGTTGCTGTTTTAAGAAAAATAAACAATCACTACATCAAATCTTTCTGCATCTACATGGTTAAAACTGATGATTAGCTAACTAGGTTGATCTCAAGAGTCTAGGACTCTAGGTATCTCAAGGCTTATTGATGTTATCATGTTGACAATTGTTGAATGTTGATCATCTCTTAAACATATAAAGGCTGTATTTGTTTACTTTTGGGAGACAGCTAGTTAAGGTTTTTTGTATAAAACTAAATGCTATTCTATACATAGAGGCGACCCCTATTCATTGAAATTGAATTCTTGGTAGTTGCTAATAAAGGCTTGACTAAGGGGAAAAAAGCTGCTTGTTTTGATTCTATAACTAAAAATAACCCTTTGATAGAGGGTTTATAAAACAGAATTTTGAGATGATTACATATTTACATTAGTCTCTGTAAACCTTATTTGTCCTTTTACTTGTTTATAATTGGAAAAAGATTAACGCATTAGTCGTTCGAAGTAGAATAAAATTGATTGTATGCATGTGTTTATATCATGATTCATAAGTATCCCTATCTTCTTATTTTGATTATTAGTTTCTATAATCATTGCTGATGATGTATTTTAACCAATGACTTAAGTCAGTCATTCATATGATATCAAATCAAGCTTCTCTTTTTCTTACCTAATGTTACATACTTCCCTTCTCAGTATAACCTCCACTCTAGGGTTGCCACCTGGCAAAGGCGTATCATATCCAAGAACAAATAACTTTCCAAATTCAACAATCAACATGGCTGCATCAGAAGATAGCAATACTCTTTTTCCAATCTTTATCTTCTCCATATTGGCTCTTCCTTTAGTACCTTACACAATATTCCAGTTATACCATTTAGCTACAAAGAAGGCCAAAATCGCCAAGTGTCAATGTTCAGTCTGCTTACAATCTGGAAAGTACCACAAGTCTATATTTAGACGTGTGAGTATAATGATTCATAATCTTTTATTTCAGTTTTATATATAATGTAATCTAACACATTTCTGACTTCTTTTTTTGGTTTTATGTAATAAACAGATATCAAACTTTTCAACCTATAGCAACCTGACTCTTCTTATGCTATGGGTGATCATGGTGTTGTTGGCATATCACATAAAAAGCAGTAGTCATGAAGTGGAAATCTTTGAACCATTTAGTATTCTTGGATTAGAACATGGAGCTACAGATTCAGAAATCAAGAAAGCATATAGGAGACTTTCCATCCAATATCACCCTGATAAAAATCCAGATCCAGGTGGATAATTATTTTAAGTTTTTAACCAACTGTTTAATTTAAATTCTAAATTTCTAACCCTTTAAGGTTGTGTTTGAGGTGCCACAACTAGCTTATTTTTCAAGCTTTTTTAAGTTGTCATGTTTAGCAATCCAAAAAAGTAGCTTATAAGCTAGCTTTTTAAAAAGCATATTGTTCTAAATGCCTATTTATGTCTTTTTATATCTTTCAATTAGCTTATCAACTAGTTTTACTAAGACTATGTTTAGCGTACTAGCTGAAAAGCTAGCTGTTAAATAAAAAGCTAGCTGATCAAAAATGATGTTTGGTAAAACTAGCTGAAAAGCTAGCTAAAATGTATAAAATGACATAAAAGGACATTTTAAATGAATGTGTTTCTATAATTAATTAGGGGGTCTTTTTGGAAAAATTTTAAAAAGCTCTCAAAAAGCTAGTCTAAGTAGCTTTTTAATAAGCTAGCTTATAAGCTACTTTTTGGCTTACCAAACACGACAACATAAAAAAGCTCGAAAAATAAGCTAGCTTATCAGCTAGCTGTGGCGTGCCAAACATAGCTTAAACATCATTTTTTATCAGCTAGCTTTTCATATTGCAGCTATCTTTAAACATCATTTTTTATCAGCTAGCTTTTCATATTGCAGCTATCTTTTCAGCTATCAGCTAGTATGCGAAACATAGTCTAAGTCTATTAGTGATAACTTTTTATTTTCTTTTTCAGAGGCACATAATTATTTTGTGGAATATATATCCAAGGCTTATCAAGCTCTAACAGATCCAATATCACGTGAGAATTTTGAAAAATATGGTCATCCCGATGGCAGACAGGTACACCATAATCTTGTGAAAAGACCAAATTACCCTTTCAACTTATATAAGTGAAAAAACTAAAAGTAATTCAATTTTTACATTTCTTCGAAAGCATTGATTACACAAATCAAAGTCTATTATCAATTTTTGTTGAATTGATTCGAGTAAATTTGTGAAAAAAACAGGGGCTACAAATGGGAATTGCTCTCCCTCAGTTTCTATTGAATATTGATGGGACATCAGGGGCAGTGAATTTACTTGGAATTGTTGGGATTTGTATTATTATGCCCTTGGTGATGGCTGTTATGTACTTATCAAGATCATCTAAATATACTGGAAACTATGTCTTGAAGCATACTCTATCTGCATATTTCTATCTTATGAAACCCTCTTTGGCTCCAAGGTAACTTTTTTTTTTTAAAACTATAATTCAGCACTTTTACTTTCACCATTTTATCAATTTAGCAACTTTACTATTTTCTGTAGTGATTAAGCCATTATATACTTTTCTCACCGTTAAAGAAATACCAATTTTTAATCGCAAAATGAAGAAAAACACAATGTGATTTTGCTATTATATTGAGTTTAGCTACAAAACTATTATTTTTAATGGATTTAGCCACTGGTCTATTATTGTTATATTAATTATAAAGAAATAACTGTTCACTGGCTAAATGTGTAAAATGTTAAAAGCACTTTTTCTGTTTTTATGTTTAGGGTTACGATTACTTATGGCCAACAAACTAATTTTAGTTCATACAAAATACTATTTTATACACTTTATTACCCAACTTTTCCTTTTTACAGTTTTGGCCTAAGTATTTCTTTTTGTTACAAATTTGGTCCCAACTTTTTTTTTTTTTTGCAAATTTGTTTCTATATGTTTTTTGAAACTTAGTTTCTTTTTTAATTTAGTTTTTTCTTTCTAATTTTTTGCATATCTGTTTTTATGAAGATTTTTTGCAACCTTTACATGATTATTTACAAGTTTCTGTTATGAATGCTTTTTCTTTTACAAATTCGTTTTTGTAAAAACAAATTAGTGCATATTTTTTTAAAATTTTTTTACAACCCAAACTTGCTTTTTATCATTTTTTTTTTTAAAATTGTAAAAACAAACATGTAAAAAACATTTTTTTTTACAATCTTTAAATGCATAAAAACCCTTTAAAAAATGCACTACTAAAAAAATTATAAAATGAATTCATCAAAAAAACTAATTACTAAAAACAAACTAATTTAAATAAAAAACATCTAAAACCGAAGTTCCAAATTCGTAAAAAAAAAGTTGAGACCAAATTCGTAACAAATTTTAAAACGTGGGTGGAAACTGTAAAAACAAAAGTTAGGTAACATGTAAAGCAAACCCACTATTATATTAAACCAATTTGTAACAACTTTCGTAATCAGTTACTTACAAGTTGCATCTCAGGATAATAAAGTAGTGTTAAACCAATGTTTTAGAAAGTTTCAAGTTAAGTATAAAAATATGACCAAATTAATTAATTTAATTATTTGAAAAAATTAATTACAGTAAGGTGATGGATGTGTTCATAAAAGCTGCTGAATACATGGAGATTCCAGTGCGTAGAAGTGATGGAGAGCCTCTTCAGAGACTTTTTGTTCTTGTCAGAAGTGAATTAAATCTTGACCTTAAAAATATTAAACAAGAACAAGCTAAATTTTGGAAGCAACATCCCGCTCTAGTCAAGGTTTTTTTTTTAATATTCCTTAAATTTTTTTTAATAATAATCTTTTCTTTTTCTATTAATATATATTTTTTTTAAAAAAAATTGCAGACTGAGTTATTAGTTCAAGCTCAATTAACTCGTGAGTCGGGATGTCTGACTCCATCTTTACAACGTGATTTTAGACGTATACTTGAAGTTGCTCCTCGCCTTCTTGAAGAGTTAATGAAGGTATCTCCGTACTTTGCCTTTACTTATTATAAAAGGAAAAAAGTTTTTTTTTTTTTTTGCTTCACAACCGGAATTGGAATCCAAGATTCCATTCCGTAGTGCCAAATGGAGGGAATTTAGTTTGGTGGAAATCTTTGACTTCCATGTTTGATGGATTTCATCCTTCTTACGGGAGGGTGGAGTGGAAGGAGATTAGTTTCTTCCTTTTTTATTAAATGACCAAAATACCCTCGTTACTTATGAATCAACATGGTAATTTTTTATCTAAAAAAAGGTATATTTTTTCTTGTTGTAGATGGCGGTTCTACAGCGGCCCCCACATGGACACGGGTGGCTGAGACCTGCAATCGGGGTGGTTGAGCTCTCACAGTGTATAATACAGGTGCTTTTTTTATTTTATTTTATATAATCATTATAATTAATGATTACTAATAATAATAATATTATTATTATTATTATAAAAATTTGACATGTAGGGAGTTCCATTGAGTGCACGAAAGCCAGTTGGTGGATCTGTTGAAGGAATTGCCCCTTTTTTGCAACTCCCACATTTCAGTGAGGCTGTTCTTAAAAAGCTTGCCAGGAAGGTATGTAAAAATAGCAACGTACTTTCAACTTTTTTTTTTTTTTTTTTTTTTAATCTGGACATTTTACTTCAAGAAAGAAAGTCTTTGTACATTAAGCACTTTACTATGGAATTAAGTTCCAATTTTTTACAAAACTAAATCCTAAAACCTATTCCTTTGATTTCCAAAGAATAGCATTATTTATCCAGGCACTTTTCTATTCTTGCAAAATGACCATTTTACCCTTTACATGAACATATATCATTACCATCTTAGATTAAACAGTAAATGATCATTTCACCCTTTACATAAACATATCATTTAATAACTTACTACTTCATCCTTACTTTCTTCGCTTAAACACAATATTTCCATCAAACAGTAAATGACCATTTTACCCTTCACAAAAAATCTCTACTTTTGAGGACTTCCACTACTTAACTACCACATCATCACTATCTTACATTAAACATGATATTTCTTTAAAACATTAAATGACCATTTTACCCTTTACATGAACATGTCATATATGATTAAACTTCTATAAAACATTAAATGACCATTTTACCCTTTACATGAACATGTCATATATGATTCCATCATAACTATCTTAGATTAAACATTAAATGACCATTTTACCCTTTACATGACCATCCCATTCTCATATATGATTACATCATTACCATCTTAGATGAAACAGTAAATGATGTTTTTACCCTTTACATGACCCATCTCATTATCATATATATGATTACATGATAACTATCTTAGTCAGAATCAACAGTAAATGACCATTTTACCCCTGAAACAGAAAATCCGTACTTTTGAGGACTTCCGCGACCTAACCCAACAAGACCGCTTCGACCTCCTAACAAAAACCGCGGGCTTCTCCCCGCTCCAATCCCAAGACATCGAAACCGTGCTCGAGACATTACCATCAATAACCTTCGACATCAAATGTGAAACCGAAGGCGAAGAAGCAATCCAGGAGGGCGATATCGTAACTATGCGTGGTTGGGTCACACTCAACCGCTCCAACCACAAAATCCGTTCCCTCCCACATTGCCCAAACTACCCTTTCCACAAAGAAGAAAACTTTTGGCTCCTTTTAGCGGACCCCACATCCAACAGCGTATGGATCTCCCAAAAAGTCAGCTTCATGGACGAATCCGCCGCCCTAATCGCCGCCCCGAAAGTCATCCGGGAGTCGAAGGAGTGGGCGGGAGCCACCCCGAAGGAGTTGAATTTGGCGGTGAAGGAGGCGGTGGAGAAGGTGAGGAACGGGTCGAGGTTGGTGATTGGGCGGTTCTTGGCACCGGAGGAAGGAACGTATAATTTGACTTTGTTTTGTTTGAGTGATTCGTGGTTGGGGTGTGATACGAAAATGAGTTTGAAGTTGAAGGTGTTGAAGAGGAGTAGGGCGGGGATGAGAGGCGGGGTGGCGGTGGTGGAGGAGGGTGTGGAGGATGGCGGTGAGGAGGAGGAAGTGGAGGAGGATGAGTTGTATGATGATGATGAGAGTGAGTATAGTGAAGATGAAGCGGATGTGGAACATGAGGTTGTGGATGATGATGATGATGTGAATGATGATGATGATGAGGATAATGATAATGATGAGGATAAGAAAGAGAATTAGAAGGTAGTTTTTTTTTTTTTTTTCTTTTTAATATATATACTTTGGTTTGTAAGTTATGACTTTGGACTGAATTTTCAAAATTTGTTTAGAACATTTCATAATAATTAATGACTTTAAAGTAGAATCCATACATTTTTAGAGTTTTGGTGTTTGATTAGTCATATATTATCTAAGGAAATAACTTTCGTTATTTATATATTAATGGCCTTGTATTGTATTTGATGATAACAAGCTACCCGACTAATATGTAACCATTGGGTTTGCATCGGAATTTTCATTACCTATTACAATATCATCCAAAAATAAACTATATGAATTTTGACTAATTCAAAATTTGTTTTTAATATTACATATAATTTTAAAATCATATATATTAATAATAAAATTATAAGTAGTATAAAAATATAAATCGTTTGAGGTCAGTTAAATGTGATTGGGTATAACGCTTATAACCATCATAAACAAGTGAAATGTTTCAGAAAAAAGCTCATATCTGATCCCATAACCATTTACATGTATAAAAAATCTCAGGTTTGATTTATCCTTTGGAATTCGTGTATTTTGCCATACTTGATCTTTATTATAAAATTGGGAATTTAATTTTATAAAGTTTAATGACAATTTCGTAATTAAAGAAAGTTACATAAATAGGTATGAGCAAGGTTTTAATAGGAGTGAGTGGTGAGCTTGACCGACAAGATCAAGCTTAAGACATGGTAAGCCATGATTTTTTTTTAAAGGGTGAAATGTTATATTATCATTTAATATAAATAGTTAACAAATACACAATTGTTTTAAGCCCGTTAAAAAAATAACTAGGCCATACATTAAAAAAATCATATAATTATAGAATTATATTAAATATATTAAGTTTTTAGAAATATTATATTATCATTTAATATAAATATAAATCGTTAACAAATAATTAAACCCGTTAAAAAAAAAAACCCTAGGCCATATCCTTTTAGAACCATGATCAATTAAAAGAGTAAATTACATTTTTTGTCCTTAAATATATCTTATTTTTGCAATTTTGATCCTAAAAAGTTTTATACAGCAAATTTTAGTTTTTATTTAAAGTTTTTGTAGCATTCTTTTTATAATTTACTTTAAAATTAAAAGGGTAACCTACATTTGTGGTTCCTGAGTATATCTTATTTTGGCCGTAAAAAATTTATCTATCAATTTTGGTCGTTATGAGGTTATAGATTTTTGGGTAAATTACACGAATGATCCCTATGGTTTAGGGTAACTTGCGCGTTTGGTCCCTAACTTATTTTTCTAACTCGGAAGATCCCTACTGTTTGTTTTTGTTACACGCTTGGTCCTTGTCTTACATAAAAAGTCTATTTTTCCCTTGATTTTTTAATTTATTTAAATAAACACACCCTCAATCTCATTATCTCTCCTTACCTTACCTACTCTATCATTTTTCTCTATTTAAATAATTGTCTTTTTACGTAAGATAGGGACCAAACGCGTAACTAAAATAAACAATAGGGATCAAATGTGTAGCAATAACAAACAGTAGGGACCTTCCGAGTTAAAAAAATAAGTTAGGAACCAAACGTGCAAATTATCCCAAACCATAGGGATCATTCGTGTAATTTACTCTAGATTTTTTTAACAATTTTGATCTTGTTCCAAATAAAATGTATTTGAATCTTACCACTAGAAAAGGGGATATGAACATTTTTAGAATCTTATACAACTCACTCATGATCTTTGTTCATGCCATATCAACAAAATTATTAATAAGAATCACAACATTTAACTCTCTCTCTCTCTCTCTATATATATATATATATATATATATATATATATATATATATATATATATATATATATATATATATATATATATATATATATATATATATATATATATATATATATATATATAGGGTAAATTACACGAATGATCCCTATGGTTTAGGGTAACTTGCGCGTTTGGTCCCTAACTTATTTTTCTAACTCGGAAAGTCCCTACTGTTTGTTTTTGTTACACGCTTGGTCCTTGTCTTACATAAAAAGTCTATTTTTCCCTTGATTTTTTAATTTATTTAAATAAACACACCCTCAATCTCATCATCTCTCCTTACCTTATCTACTCTATCATTTTTCTCTATTTAAATAATTGTCTTTTTACGTAAGATAGGAACCAAACGCGTACTAAAATAAACAATAGGGATCAAATGTGTAGCAATAACAAACAGTAGGGACCTTCCGAGTTAAAAAAATAAGTTAGGGACCAAACGTGCAAATTATCCCAAACCATAGGGATCATTCGTATAATTTACTCTCTCTCTCTCTCTCTCTATATATATATATATATATATATATATATATATATATATATATATATATATATATATATATATATATATATATATATATGACACAATTAAATAATGACATGTTTACCATTTAATTAAATAATGCACATTTAATGATATTTTTAATTTACTAATATGATACATCATTATTTAATTGAGTAGGAAGATTTGTAGGAACAAAAATATGATATTTAATTTCTCTTATTAATAAGAATCACAACATCTGACTCTACAAGTAAAATATCACCATTTTTTTTTATTTATGAAGCTAATATTTCTTGTAATTATTAATAAGAATCACAACATCCGACTCTACAAAAAAAAATATCACCATTTTTTTTACTTATGATTGTAATATTTCTTATAATTTATCAGTGTCCCGTACAATAGTTTTTGAAGGGAGCACAATCGCCGCCACCGGATTTTGTTCCATTCCACCGCCTTCATCAATAATCAGTCTAAGACCATCTACATGAAGCTTCCCATGGTGACCACTTACCACAATTGTCGCGCTTTTGCTCAATTCCTAATTCATATCAAATATTAATTAGAAATATCATCATACGTAAAAAACAATCTACATTCCCATTATAAGTGAAGAAATAAAAGTACGTTGCTATTACGAGTAATACATGTACATGTAGGGGAGAATGGAATCATATCATAGTTTCATTTCTTCTTATTACAAAATTTTACTTGAAAATTTTACACAATTATAGCAATGCCATCAAAATACAAAAAAAATTTCACTGCTATAATTACATAACTTTTTAAAAATATAATGTCCTAACAAGGAAAAAAAAATCGAAAGAACAAATCACATTTTTGGTCCGTGAGTATAGTTGATTTTTCCAATTTTAATCCAAAAAATTATCTTGCAATTTTGGTCTTTATTTGAATTTTTTGTAATGTCTTTGCTTTCTGTGGGAATTGTTACAAGTAAAATGACTATTTTTGGTCACCGAGTATAAACGATTTTTGCAATTTTGGTTAAAATAAATACAGTCATTTTACTTCGACCAATGACCAAAACTTTACAATAATCTCAAAAAGGACCTTTCTGGGACCAAAATTGAAAAAATCAATTATACTCAGGGACCAAAATTGTACTCTACTCTCGAACATATAATGCTAGACTAGGTAGATTTTTCAAAGTACAACACCTTAACAAGAAAAACTTAAAAGTATAATGCTTTATAATAAATAAATGAAACTAGAATGCTATAATACACAAATAAATAAAAATACATTCTTATTTCTTGCATATAACATTTTAAGATTTTAGATTTACCTCAGGGATGTCCCACACACTCTTCCTTCCACTAAGTGGCTCCACCTTTGGAATTCTCGTGTCTTTTTCTTTTAAATATTTAATTTGTTCTTTCACATCTTTCCCTTTTTCCAAACCCCCATGAACAGCGATTAATTTACAAGATTGAAGTCCATTTTCTGTCTCTATGGACACATTCTCCTAAATAAAATTATCATAACATAAAATGCAAGCAAATAAAATTATCATAACATAAAATGCAAGCATATAGAGGATATTTCAAGTAAAAAAAAAAAGGGAAATCTCCAGAAAAGTCCCAAAATTTTAATCCAATTTATGAAAAAGTCCCAAAATAAATTTTATTTACAGAAAAGCGTAGAATACCGGTTAAAACTTCGAAAAAACCCTTTTCGGCCGGTTTCGCAGATTTTGCCGGTATTCTGTCCTTTTTCGTTAGTTTGCTCAAAATTTTGGGACTTTTCCAAAAATTACATAATAACCACAATATTGGGACTTTTTTGAAAATTACCATGAAATTAATGGATATTATTATTAACAAATCTTTTATAAATTACATAATAACCAAAATATTGGTGGCCTAAGTACTCCTCTATTGTTTCCTGACCACTCAAACTCTCTACGTTCTTCCTATGCATTATTGTGGGTATGATGGTGAGATGAAGTTAGTTAGCATTCCTCTAATGTTGGTGTTCTTCTTATGTTGTTTAACCTAACTACCAACCAGCATTCATACCTGACATGTTAACAATCATCGGCTAACACACATCTATAAAATATGAAAAGTGAACCCTGAATGATAATTTATATGGAAACAAGTGAAGGGTGATTATCTATTTAAATTGTCATTCAAAGTTTACTTTTCACTCTCGATAGATGTGTGTAATTTTATGGTTGTTACCAGGTAATGTTTGGAGGTTAGGTGGTAGTTAGGTTAAAGAACATAATGAAAGATCTATATGTTCATGTAATGATATTTTCTAACAACACATGATCATATAGCATCATGCTTAATAGCAAGTAGACACTTATTGATTGTGTATTAATAAATATTATCAACTCTTGTATTGATCACGCCTAATAGAGTACTTCTCACTATGACACCCACAACGATACATATGAAGAACATAGAGACTTTGAAGTGGTCAACAAACAATTGAGAAGTACATAATCGACCATTCTATTTCTAGAAATTAACAACAAATGTATTTCCTTTGATTATAATAAAAAAATATTTTGTATGTTTATAAATGATTTGTTAATAATAATATCCATTAATTCCATAGTAATTTTCAAAAAAATCCCAATATTTTTGGTTATTGGGTAATTTTCAGAAAAGTCATAATATTTTGAGCAAACTAACGAAAAAGGATAGAATACCGGCTAAATCTACGAAACCGGCCAAAAAGGGTTTTTTCGAAGTTTTAGCCGGTATTCTG